TGCTGCTTGCGTACCTCACTGCTCACCCCCGAGCTGATCAGGCCTAAAACTCTCGTTGGGTCAGGTCTGGCAACTCTTCTCTTCTTCTGCACTGTCTCTCCATCCCCCTGCCACTCGATCTGGTTCCTTAACTTTGTCTTTGATGTTCAGGGCCCCTAGATTGTCATATATAATTGATTCACTTGTTTTTTCGGGTCTTTGTTGTAAGAGGATCCACTGGAAGCGTCTGACTATTCTGCCATCTTGGCCCCCTCTCTTTTCTTATAAATATCCCAAGAGTGGCTACGTTAATTGACCTACTCTAGGGGTCAGGACGAATCTGTTTGTTAATGGCATCACAAAATCATAGAGCTATTCCCAGCTAATATAAAAGCAGGTTGGAAGGAGCCAGAAGTGCCTTAACACTATTATGCCAAGGTTATTATTTTGTAAAGAGTAGAGCCAAAGGAAGGAGTCCCAGTGGAGCAACAGTTACGAGCTCAACTGTAACTGAAAGGTTGGTGGTTTAAACCCACCCAGCATATCCATGGAAGAAAAGACCTAGAGATCTGCTCACATAAAGATTATAGCCTAGAAAACTCTATGGGGAAATTTTAGTCCGTTACATGGGGTAAAACAACAACAGAGCCAAAGGAGGGAGATCCCTGGGTGGTGCAAATAGTTAGGCACTCAGCTACTGAGAGGTTGATGGTTCAAGTTCACCCAGGCACACCTTAGAAGAAAGGCCTGGCAGTCTACTTCTGAAAGGTCACAGCCATTGAAAACCCTGTGGAGAAGCTCTACTCTGACACACATGGTCATCATGAGTCAGAATCAACTTGACAGAAACTGGTTTGGTTTTTGGTTTAGAGCTAAAGGAATATGCTTTCCTCTTACTGTTATCCTAGCAGCAGTAGACAACTAAGACAGCTAATTTTTGCCGGTGGTTAATGAGCCAAGATTAGGTTATGTTAAAGAGGATTAGGGTGGGACGCAACACCCTTACTCAGGTCACAGCCCTGACCCAATCAAAGGGGCATTTCCCTGGTGTGTAGCCTGCCTCACGTTTTTATCTTGTAAGAGAAAAAAGGAGAAAGAGGGACCTCATTAGCACCAAGCAAGAAGAGCTGGGAGTGGAGCATGTCCCTTGGACCCAGAGTCCCAGTACTGAGAAGCTCCTAGACCAGGGGAAGATTGATGACAAGGACCTTCCCCCAGAGCCAACAGAGAGAGAAAGTCTTCCCCCGGGGCTGGTGCCCTGAATTTGGACTTCTAGCCTCCTAAACTGTGAGAGAAGAAAATTCTGTTTGTTAAAGCAATCTACTTGTATTTCTGTTACAGCAGCACTAGATAACTAAAACATATGGTAATTCTATGTTTAACTTTTTTTTTTTACTAGTATTTTCTATGTTTAACTTTTTGAGGAACTGCCAAACTCTTTTCCACAGCAGCTGCACCATTTTGCATTTCCACCAGCAATGAACGAGGGTTCCAATTTCTCCACATCCTCACCAACACTTGTCATTTTCTGATAATAGCCATCCTAATGGATGTGCAGTGGTATCTCATTGTGTTTGCATCCTACAGCCCTGTATTAGTCTTTGTAGCTTTCAAAATTTTTTTTATTATGGAAAATTTCAAACATATGCTATTAAAGAGAATAATAGGATAAACGTCTATGTTCACCCAGCTTCAAAAATTATGAACATATCTATAGTATTTTGCGTCTATATCCTACCTGCCCCCCATCCTCACTCCCTGCCTCACTGGATTATTTTAAAACAAATCCAAGACATTATATAATTTATTCATGGTTGACGCTTCATCACCTGAAAATAATGCTTCCTGCTGTTAAAAGAGTCTCTGGAAAAAATCCTATGCAGATTTGGAGTCTGAAAGTGCCGGGGTCATTTGACTGCAAGATTGAGAGTGTAACCAACACAAAGAGGGAATGAAGGCAAGAGAACTTCAGACAAGTGAAGCAGGAGCCCTGACTGAACCTTCTTGATCATTGCCTTACCTTTTCAGCTATACAGAAGTGAATAAACTCTCACTTTTAAAAACATCAGTTTTTTGATTGTATTTTCTGTTACCTGCTGTTAAAAGCATCCTTATTTTATTTTCTTGATAGCATGTGTTATTACCCAGTATTTTTCTTTTTTATTTATTTGTCATTGATGGGATGTCTGTGTTTTCTTATAGACTGTACACTTCACTATAGCAGAGACCTTATCCTTTGGTTTCACCACTGCATCCCCAGTGCCAACAGTACCCAGTACATGGTAATCACTTAGTAAATATTTTTGATGGAATGAATCAAGGTGCATTGAACTATATTTTTAAACAAAAATTAAAGTGGTTACATCACCCTAATGAAGCAATCTTCCTAATTTTAAGGAAGTTAATCTGTAACTATTTAAAACCTTTTTCTCACACTTAATAAAAATGTAAAAAGGGGAGTACTCGAAAGAAGAAGCAACTTTGTCTGCAACTTACTGCTTTTATTTAATTTCTTTCTCTTTTAAAACCCGAATTGAATAGTGAGATAAGCCTATACTTGGAGTTATGGTTATTTGGGTAAAATTCACATAGCATAAAATTAACCATTTTAAAGTGTACAATTCTGTGGTATTTAGTCCATTCACAATGTTGTGCGACCACTACCTCTATCTAGTTCCCAAACGTTTTTGTCACCTCAAAATAAAATCCATTAAGCAGTCACTACTCTTTCCTCCCTTCCCCAAGTCCCTGGCAGTCACCAATCTGCTTTCTGCCTCTATGGACATACCTTCTCTGAATATTTCATATAAATGGAATAATACAATATGTGATGTTTTGTTTCACTTAGCATGATGTCTTTGAGGTTCATCCACATTGTAGCATGTATCGGTACTTCATTTTTTTATGGCTGAGTAATAGTCCATTGTATATGTACTGCAATTTTTTTATCCACTCATGCTTTGATAGACATTTGGATTATCTCCATCTTTTGGTTATTGTGAATAATGCTGCTGTGAACATTCGTGTTAAAGTATTTGAGTACCTGTTTCCAAATCTTTTGGGTATATACTTAGCAGTGGAATTACTGAGTCATAGGGTAATACATGTTTAATTTTTTGAGGAAGCTCCAACCTATTTTCCACAGTAGCTGCACCATTTTACATTCCCTCCAGCAATGTATGAGGGTTCCAATTTTTCCACATCTTCACCAACAGTTGTTACTTTCCTTTTTTGTGTGTGACTATAGCACTTCTAGTGGATGCAAAGTGACAAACTACCTAAAAAATTAAAAAAAAATTGTGGTAAAATACATATAACAAAACATTTTCCATTCCAACCATTTTAACAAACACAATCCAGTGACATTAATTACATTCATTGTGTTGTGCAACCATCACCATCATCCATTTCCAAATATTTTTATTACCCAAAATAGAAACTCAGTACCCCTTAAACAATAACTCCCCCTTTCCCCTTCTCCAGCTCCTGGTAACTACTAATTAATGTTTGTCTCTATGCATTTGTCTATTCTAGACATTTCATATAAGTGGGGTCATACAATTTTGTCCTTTTGGTTCTGATTTTTTCACTTGGCATAATGTTTTCAGAGTTCATCCATGTTGTAGCATGTATCCCAACTTCATTTCTTCTTATGGCTGAATAATATTCCATTCTACCACATTTTGTTTATTCAATCCATTTTTTTAAAATGAATGTTTGTTTCAAAATTATCCCATGTTTACTTGTATTTTTATTATGCATCTACAGCTCATTTTAGCTTTGTTTTATTAATTGTTAAGACAACAGCCACAGAAACGGTTGTGCTAAGCACTGGGAAAACAGGTGCTTTGGAAATTATTTTTTTGGTTAACCAGCTATAGATTTAAACTTATTTTATTTGGTAAACATTTTGTTATAGATTTTGAAAGAGGAAGATACTTCATAAATAAAATTTTAGTTTGAGGAAGCTGATACCTAGTGTATTGTTTGTTTTCTGAAACAGTGTTAAGAACTCGTGTAGGTCAGTTTTATACAAGGGAGAATGGTTAGTTTTTGGTCTCCTACATCAATTAGGTGAACTTGTGTGTCCCTTGGGGATGAACAATCACATGACCAAACGGTTGAATACCTACTATGACTGAAACACCTTTGGTTTATACATAACATGATTTGAACCATCCAATTAAAAATGCTAGGAAGTGAGGCAGAAACATAACAGAATAAGTTTGGAAGAGCTAATGGGGTGGAAACCAGAAATATTGTACAAAATTTGCTGACATTTATTCAACCTTGGCCAATCCAATGAAAGCTCGTCAAGCTCACAAATCTAAATTGTCACGAAATACTAATTTGGATAGATTATCCTGATGTCCTGATCAATTGCCCTATTTTATTTTAATGGGAATTTTCATATTGAGCTTTATTTTTGGTGTGTGAGGAATTTAGTTATTGAGACATTTGAAAAGACTTTATTGCAGTCTTCTGGATTGTTTAATTTTCTTTGGTTTGTGAAAGCACTAGTTTAAGAAAAAGTTTATTTCTTTAGCAGGCAAGATAGAGTAAGCACTCTAGCTCCTCTTCACACGCCTATCATGGTATCAGGAAGTCTCCAAAGCCAGGCCTGTTAAGATGCACACAGAGGACATCTATACTTTCTCTTCTAGCACTAGCTCCTAAGGTATATAGCCAATCTGAAGAGAAATGAAGAATGTCCTCCATTAAGAGAACTGTAACTGTCTTATGAGGGCTTGACCAATGTCACCTAGAGGCTCAAAAGCCCATTGGATGTTTTTGGTATGCCAATCTTCTGGATGTCTAACTGTACCTGCTTTTGCTATTTTCTGTATGACTTTAGTCTCATTGTCTAGTTTTGGAGAAGCTGAGAGTTGTTTATCTGTAGGGGACACCTACAAACTTCTAGAAAGTGGTATTTTACCTTAAACTGTGCTTGATCCTGTTGTACTGATGATGTAATGTGGTTACATAAAAGAGTAAAAGCAAGAAGAAGAAAACAATCTCTAGTGCTCACTTTGGCAGCACATACACTAAAATTGGGACAAGACAGAGAAGATCATCACGGCCCCTGCACAAGGATGACATGCAAATTCATAAGTGTTCCACATTTTTGAAGGGAAAGACAACACACAATATTGGGGAAGTCAGCACAACTTTACCAAGGCAAAGCCATAAAAGCTTCCTAGACACATCCAAACACCTTTAGGGACCGAGTAACTGGGGTTGAGGGCTGGGAACCATGGTATTGGGGGACATCTAGCTCAACTGGCATAACATAGTTCATATAGAAAATGCTTTACAACCTACTTTGGTGAGTAGCATCTGGGGTATTAAAAACTTGCAAGAGGCCATCTAAAATACATCTGTTGGTTCCATCACTTGCAGAGAAAAGGAGAATGAAGAAAACCAAAGACACAAGGAAAATATTAGTCCAAAGGACTAATGAACCACATGAACCACAGCCTCCACCAGCCTTAGCCCAGAAGAACTAGATGGTGCCTGGCTACCACCACCAACCTCTCTGACAGGGATCACAATAGAGGGTTCTGGACAGAAAACGTAAAACAAGATTCAAATTCACACAAAAAGACCAGACTTACTGGTCTGACAGAGACTAGAGGAACCCCCGAGATTATGGCCCCCAGACACCCTGGTAACTCAGAACTGAAGCCTTTTTCGAAGTCCACCTTTCAGTCAAAGATTAGACAGCCTATAAAACAAACAATAACACATGTGAGGAATGAGCTTCTTAGTTCAATCAAGTATATGAGACCAAATGGGCAACATCTGCCCAAAAGCAAAGACAAGAAGGCAGGAAGGGACAGGAAAACCGGATGAGTGGACACAGAGAACTTGAGGTGGAAAGGGAAAGGGAGGGAGTACTGACACATTGTGCCGATTGTAACCAATGCCACAAAACGATTTGTATATAAATTTTTGAATGAGAAACTAATTTGCACTGTAAAATTTACCTAAAACACAGTAAAATTAAAAATAAAAAGAAAAAACAAAAAACTCTCTAAAATCTAAACATTAGAACAGATTCTAAGTGTAAAGACTTCTCCAGAGGGGTCACACACTTTCAAACCTCACTCTTAGTCCCTGGGCCTCTTATCATTCTCTTTAGGGCCAGCTTCACCTCTTGGTTCCACAGAGTGTAGATAAGGGGGTTGAGGAAGGGAGTGATGGCTGTGAGGAATAGGGCAGCTGCACCATCCAGGGGGGTGTTGGTTTCGGGCCTCAGGTAGATGAAGGCACAGGGCACATAGTACACAGTGACCAGGGTTACATGGGCTCCACAGGTTGAAAAGGCCCGGTGCCGCCCAACAGCTGTACGGATTCTCAGGATGGCCTGAATGATCTTTATGTAGGACAGGAGGATCAGGGAGAAGCAACTGGCAAACACCACCCCAATCTCCACAAAGGTCACTAGCTTGTTGACTGTTGTATCTGCACAGGCCAGTCTTAACACAGCCAGTCACAGAAGAAGTAATTCACCTGGTTGGGCCCACAGTAAGGTAGGCGGAAGGTTAGGATGGCCTGGAAAGCCCTATGGATCGACCCTGCCACCCAAGCTCCAGCCACAAGCAAAGTGCTCAGCTTAGCAGTTATGAGCACAGGGTAGTGCAGGGGCTGGCATATTGCCAAGTACCTGTCATAGGCCATCAGCGTGTAGAGGAAGCACTGGGTACTGCCCAGGAAGTGATAGAAATAGAGCTGATCCACGCAGCCACCAAATGGGATGGGTTTGATGCCTACAGTGAAATTCATCGTGAGGCGAGGGACAATGATGGAGGAGATGCCCATGTCAATGATGGAGAGAACACCAAGAAAGATGTATATGGGGTGGGCATGGACAGTGATTAGAATAAGTAGGTTCCCCAGCTGAGTCAAGATGTAGATGAACAAAAAGAACACAAAAAGAAACATTCCTAGCCTGATTGAGTAGGGAATTCCTGTCAGGATGAACTCAGTCAACAGTGTGCTGTTGACTCTTTCCATCCCCTGGAGAGATTTTGCCTAGAGAATGAACAACGCAGGAGTTAGCATGGAAGTCAGAGGAAAATGAGGGGAAACTAGAGGAAAAGATTGTGAAAACCTGGGACAGTGGCAGAGAGGTTTTTCTCTTAGGTGGAGAGATGACAAGTAGGGAGAAGCTATGAGCTATAGCAGGGGTTGGCCTGTCTGTGTAAATAAACTCTTACTGGAACACAGCCATATTCATATGTTTACCTGTTGTCTGTGGCTTGTTTGGTGCTATGATGGTAGCGTTGAGTAATTGTGTTTGGCCAGAATAGCTTAAAATATTTACTCTGGCTCTTTACTGAAAATGTTTGCTGACTTCTGTTTGCACCTAGAGCACTTTAACCAAAGAGTAAGGGTTTCCTGGAAACATGTAAGAAAGGACATCTGTTGCACTAGATGCTCTGCCACTTCAGAAAGTTCCAGAGGCTATTGGCTCATTCTTATCTCTGCTAGGACAGAAACCTAACTTAAGGGAGAATATGCAGAAGGGAACAGAGGAAATTCCACGCTCTTTTGGTGTAGAGAGAATGAAATAGAATTTTCTTTAAATGCCTAGTTGTGTGTGCAGTTGTTGGTGCTGTACAAATTTGCTCTCCAAGTTTTTTACAATTCAAAGGAAGACAAAACTCTAAGCATAAAGTAAGGACTACCACCACCAGGCATTGTTGTTGATACTTGGTGTTATGCATTTCGGTTGCTTTATATGTAATAATTTAGCCTTGGGATGTGGTAAAGGAAGAGAGGAGAGGAGGAAGAAAAGAGCAATGGCCATGGTGAGAAGTCAGAGATTAAAGAAGTGTTCTTAGCCTAATTGGGTAGGGAACAAGAATGATTGGACAGAATGAGAGGAAATGTCTTTCAGTGTGGAAATTATCTTAAATTCTTAGTCCAACCCCTTGAATGACATTTTCCCAGTAAATCTTCTCACCCCATCCCATGTTATCCTCTTCGAGGGAATGAATTAGCAGTTGTGATGTTTTTAAATAAACATTTTAATCTCAGGGAAACAGTGATGGTTGAACTTAAAAAGCTGACCACAGAGCTCTTCCAGATTCCAGGGGCTATAGACACTGGCATCCTCCTCCTGCTTCACAACTTCAGAAAGTGTTCAGGGTTTAAGTACCCACACAAGTTCCCTGAGGAATGCATGACCATGCCCAGCAGCAGTCCTGGCCCGAATGAGCTCAGGTGGATGCTCTGGTCCGGGTGTCAAGGGATGCTGTAGTTTATTGGGATCTCCAAGGTCAGACATTTAACTCTGCAGATTTGGAAGCCTGGTTTGGTCAGATGTCTCTGGAGGAATCAGCCTCTGGGAAATCAATTCACACTGTTCAAATTACCTGAGAGGATGACTTATAAACCAAACAACCAATTTGTTAATTTACAGTGGGAGAGCTCTTTTCTGGGACTGAAACGGTATATCTATTACTCAGGGCACCGACTTACAAATACCAAGGTCCCTGCAAATAAAATTAGAAATCAGATGAATATTTCTGAGTTTTGAATCAGAGCAAAGGGAATTTGATGGGGCATACTTAATTTAGGCCACTATAGGTCCCTATGAATTATACCTCGTAAATTACACAGCACCTTCAACTAAGGGAATACTTGAATCTTCTCTTCAGATACAATTACTTTCTTTTCTCTAGGCAGTAATGGGAATAAATTGACAGTTTTACTCTTTAATTACTTTCTTCCTGAGTCTATATCCTCTTTAGACTTCCTTTACTATTTCCAATGGCTATCTTAAAATGATTTTAGAAATTTGATGGTTCAGTCTGTAAAAGATTCTAAACTGATGTTGCTGCCCTGTTTCAAAATCCAGATGTAGTAAAGTGCAAGTTCTAAAATCAAGCTAGAGTCAAATTTTTTGCCCTGAATCTGTGAAGTTGCCAAACTTCTTTCATTGTCTGACATTCTATCACATGTAGAATTTCTTGAAAGAGTGGACCATTGTGTGGGGCTTAGTAGTATTTTCATTTTACAGAGATTTAGACTGTGAAGATGTTGACACAACATGTTTTTGAATTGTATTCTGATAACAAATACAAAAGGTTGTCTAGTACAAACATGTTTGAAAAGGACATCAGAATTGTTGTGTGCCGTTCAGTTGATTCCAGCTCAGTGACCCAACAGGTCAGAGCAGAACTGCCCCATAGGGTTTCTAGGCTGTAAGTTTACGGGAGCAGATCACCAGGAGTTTTCTCCCCCAGAATCATTAGTGGACCACAAACTGAATATAAATCTGTAATATTGATCATTAAACAATTGTTAGCAAATGATTAGCTCAGGGGATTAGGTACCTTTTATAATGAGGTAAAAGGCACAGGCTTAATCCCCATTTCACAGATGAGTTTTGCTTATTCTTATCCCATGCTGCACCCCTAACTCTAGTAACCCATGTCTTAAATGGCCGCGAGGAAAGCTTAAGAACATTGTCATTATTTTTTGAAAATTAACTCTGTGTATTTTCTTTTCTTTATTTGTAAATAATATTTAGAAAGCTAATATAGTCTATTATCTTTTTCTGAAATTTACAACAAGACATGCAAAACTGAAGATATTCTGAAGAGAAGTAAACTGGAATGAATGTATAATATACACAATGAGATGAAAAAATTTGAATTACTAATTCTGAAAAATGAGACTAAAAGTTCCCATTAAAATATAAAACACGAGTCCAGTGACAAGGGCCAGAAGGCAGAAGGGGACAAGGAAGCTGGTGATAGGGAACCCAAGGTTGAGTAAGGATATTGTTGATGTGTTG